AAAAATATTTTTATGCTTTAAGATACACATCTGTTAAGTCAGACAGTCAGAAAGGTTTAAATGCAATCCCAGTTAAAAATGTACTTTAACAAGCTTTCGGCAAAACCGAGACAAAGAAAAACTAAAAATAAAAAAAGTGGATTTTTTTTTTTACTAAAATCATAAGAAACCATCATATCAACGAGAGCAAAGACGCTTACCGCAATTTTAATTTTGTTGCTATGCCTTTGTAGTTGATTATGTATATATGTATGTACATACATACATATGTACAGAAATATATGTAGATACATATGTACGTGTGAAGTGCACTGCCACTCAGCAGAAAAGGTTCAACGTGATTTAGAACTTTAACTGTGAGATCTTGTTTTTGTAAAGGTGCAATTAAATTTTGTTTTTGTTTCTGTGGTTGTTTTTCGTGTCGTTTGTATATGCGGGCAATCTGCACCAAACAGTTAAAGTTGAAAATCATCTTGAGCCCTATTTTTCTGAGTGGAAGTGTATGTACGTAAATACATATCTACATATGTATTTGGATGTATGCATACTTACAACTTCTTGAATCTAAAAGTGTATAAATGTTAGTCTTACATGTTGATGACCATTGCGAGATGCCGGCATTTACATACATGTGTTTTAATGTATGTATGTATGTGTGTATAAATATAAAACAAAAAAAAACATTTGTAGTACTTATTGTGTGTACATATGTAAATAGTACCTATAACATTGCTTTACCAAAGAAACCGACGCTAATAGCCCAGTTATGCATACGCTTAGCTTTGCATGAGAGTTGTCACATAAGAATCTATTAACCCTTTCGCTATTTTGATGCCATATGGCGTCATGCTTTTTTGAATACTCACAGATTTAATTGAGCTTATTTGAAATTATATTTTTAAATGCAACGCTGTAATGGGAAGTTTTATAAACTATATTTGAATACGGTATTGTTATTTTTATCCTTAGTAGATGAAAAATTTAAATTTTAAAACTTTACTAAAATATCGATTTTCTTCTGCTTAGAGAGGTCTACATTAAAATACTATATTTCACCAAATAACCCAATAAATTAAAAACAGATAAATATGCTATAGTCTCCAAAATAGTGTCAAATATTGCTAGAACTTGTAATTTAATTTAAAAAAGTGCTTTTAAATGCGTGGGATATTTTTATGTCATATGCCATATGGCATCAATAATATTTGATGGAGCTGAAATCCGCACCAGCAAATAACGATATATTTGTACTACTGAGAAATTGCAACTGATAAATTTTTTAAATGAATTATTAAATCTATGCATGTTCCAACTTATTTTATTAAATTTTTGTGGTGTTATTTTATTTGATTTGAATAAAATACAGTGAAACCTCCCTTGGGCGGACACTCACCGTCAGTCATTTTTTGTCCGCCCAAGAGAAGTGTCCGCTTAATGGAGGGGAAGTTTATTTTAGAACTTTTTAATGTTTTAATTAATTGAATAGTCACTATTTCTTATTTGAATAAAAGATATTGATATTACATCGTTCAAACAAAAATGTGCATGTATTTTTTCAAAAGTGCACATTTCATTTATCTGCGTAAATACATATTAAGTAATAACAAAATAAAAATAAATATTACATTTTAGTCCATAAACTACATAAAATCATAGATTCATTACATAAAAAACTGGGAAATTGTCGATTGACGTAAGTTTTATTTTTAATTTTTTTCAGTGTCAGTACCTTTTTCATCAATAGTTTTCATGTTTTTATCAGTCTCCAAGGTTTCTGACAATTCAAATAACGAACCTAAACCACTGCGCAAACCAAACTAAATGTGTGCATAACAATCACATTTTGTGCGGGAAGTCCCCTTTTTCCATTTAGTAGTCCGCCTATGAGGAGTTCGCGTCCGCTCAACGGAGGTTTTTGTTTGATTTGTTATGAAAAGAAATCTTAATGTCCGTTGATAAGAGGTTCGCGTCCGCCCAATAGAGTTTTTGTGTCAATTTTATGCAAAATAACTGTCCGCGTCCGGCCAAGCGAGTGTCCGCTTAAGAGAGAGTAATTTGTTCCGAAATTTATACTTAAAACTTGGTATAGGAAAAAATGTCCGCCCAAGGGAGGTGTCCGTCTAATAGAGGTGTCCGTTAGGAGAGGTTTCACTGTAAAATACCATATTAAAAAATCTTTGCATATTTTTTACACCAGTTAGTACAAATGATGCCATATGGCATCATTCCAAAAAACACTTTAGAATCGCATTTTGGAAAAAGATTAAATTGAATTTTATTATATTATGTATTAAGGATCATTTAATAAAAAAATTGGATTTTTAAAGCCCGAATCTAAAAAGATGTACCGAAATGGTTAAAGGGGCTTTACGTGTAAGCGGTTACCCAACGCATAGCACTTAACATGTAGAATTCTGTTGGGTTTTGATTTTTACGTAAAAATGGTATAGAAGTGCAAGTATCTATGCATAACCGGGCCGTAAGCATCACCGAAATTTGCCGCAAACACAAAGAGAAAAACGGGGGTGAAAGAAACACTGAAAGCCGCAGTTATGTAGATGATTTACTTGTAACTAGTTGCTTGTTCATAACTGTAAGCCGTGGTGAAAATGTGTAAATATTTACATACATATGTACAATAAATGTGTGTACTCATACTTACAATATGTGTATATGTATGTATGTATGTTTGTATATGTATAATACAAGAAGGATCTGAGTTTTTCGATGGATGCTTTTATGAATGAGAATGCCTTGATTGATGAATGCAGCGCTAAAATATTGCTCGCGTTTGTTCGTTTATATGTATGTGCAAACATAAATATGTATGTATGTGCAGAATGGCTGTTCCAACGACATTTCTGCAGATTAAACGCCAACATTCCATGATGTACACATGAGTTAAAAGTATGTATGTGTGTATGTACCCATCTGTATGTTTGTAAGCCAACAAGAGAGCCGGCCAATTTTTCATCAATTGTTGCACTTGACGAATGGGCCGGGCCACACAATTGGTGGGAAAGACTTCATCACTTTGTCGAATGCGAACATATTTATAACTAACTAGTGCTTATAGTATACGTATGTCTGTATGTGCAAAGCTACACATGCCTTGATAACAAATATACAAGCATAAATACATTCATATGTTCATACTCTATGTTTGCAGCGTTGCATTCGCATGACAATGCACCTCACTAACGAAACAAATTGCCAGCAATTATTTATATTTTTGAGTTGAATGGCATTGACATAATCTCAATATGTAAGTATTTTCACACCTGAACACCTACCTACCTACCTAACTTTTTTGTTCATTCATTCAGTCCTAACTCCACTACAAATCTTTATCAAGCCGACAATAGAGATGGATGGTATAATCGATAGTATCGATGTTTCTTATTTATTGCCGCTGTCGATAATCCTTGGACTCTGTTATATGTATTTAAGACATATCTTCGCTACCATGTCAAACTATCGAATGTTAAAATGGGTATTTTTCAGGGGAGCAAAAAAAAACTGTTGTTGTCATTAGGAAAAAGTGTGAGAGTCGACACTTTGTTAAAGTTAGTATCCTCTGCTTCTAAGAAGACTAGAAATTTGACGGTTTGCCAACTTACTTATCATTCTAAACGCAAGCGCAATATATCGTTAAGCTGCCTTTACATGAGTCGATTTTTTGACAGGCCATAATCGCCTGCAAAAGTTGACTTACTGTCTACTTTGAGGCAAACGATTTTTGAATCATCATTTACACGAGCGATTTTTCCAGAGCAATGTTGAATCGCCTGGCAAATCACCTCATGTGAAGGCAGCTTAATTGAATAAGCATTCGGTAGACTGACATGGTAGTGACGATATGTAGTATGATATAGAGATGCGGAAAAAATATCAATGCATCGGAAACATCGATGTCTGATATTCGATCTATCGAATAAAACCGATGTGTTGGACCTTCCGATATATATCGATATATCGATGTATTTTTTTCGATGCATCGACTTTTGTGTGCAATGTGCACTGTACATATTAAAATTATTTTGTATGCTTCCAAGCTCTTTGCTCTAGTAACTATTCTAAATGTGGAGTTATTTGCACTAATAAATTGCTAGTTTATAAAGAGATGTAAATATGTACTTCAGTACCTTCCGGAAACTTTTTTCGAAAGCTTCTCAAAAGAAACGAATACATTTCACTGTGAGTTAATACCGAAACATTTATCGAAGCTCCGATTGTTTCACTTTCATATTGTATATTTTTAATTGAAAGTAACTGTTGCTATTTTCATTCGATGCATCGAAAATATTGATGTTTTTATACGATATATCGATATGAATCGATGCTATATTTCGATGCATTTTTTTGACTTGCATCCCTAGTATGATAATTAATGTACACTGAGAAAACAAAAAAACAAACAATGCAATGGACCTGGCAAGTGAAAAACTGCTTCGGGCTTTGCGACGTCTACTAATGCTGCCACGTAAAAATTCGGTGTTAGATTTGTGCTGGGAGCGAGACTCCATCGCCAATTACTGCCGCTCAACCCGCCCAATCAAGTAATACACGCAGGAGGATTATTTATTTATTAGTTTAAAAAAGGACTGCAATGAAACCCATTTGTTTTTAATTTAAATTACTTCCTAGTCAGAAATTAATGCACAGATCCTATTATTTTGAGCAATTCAATTATATGTTAGAATTATGTTGAACTTATGCTGCTGAGTAGCAGTGTACTATCGACGATATTTGTATGTATCTACGGGTAACAAAATAATATTGAAAACTTTTGTTTTTTTATAACTTTAGGGATGTGCATAGAAAATATAAAATAGCGAATTTATTTACAATTTCAAAATATTCTATAATAACTTACAGATTTATATACATACATACTTACATATGTATGTATTTTCCAGAAATGTACAAACATTTGTGTGCATATAAAGTACATTTCCAAAAGCTCTTTTAGTAAAAATATTTGATATATGTATTTATAGAATTCTCGAGCTTCGAAAGGAAAAATCTCGGGATGCAGCGAGATCACGGCGGGGAAAGGAAAATTATGAATTCTACGAGCTGGCGAAAATGCTGCCTCTACCTGCGGCTATCACTAGCCAGTTGGATAAGGCTTCCATTATAAGACTGACAATAAGTTATCTCAAACTAAGAGATTTCTCTGGACAGGGCGATCCACCATGGAGCCGTGAACAGTCGAGCAGTAGCAAATTGAAAAGTAAGTTTAAGGCCTAATATGGCTAAAAAAAATTTAAGATTTTTCTATGAAAAGCTCGTAGGCGAAGAAATAAGAACCATAAGATATCTTTTAAAAACAAGGAGGAAAATGTTTAGTTTAAATTTTTTGCTAGAAAACATTACATAACACACACATTTTCTTTTTAATTGCTTAAACGAATATCTTCCTAATTGTTTTGAGAATTATGTATTTGAATTTATCAGCAGTACTTTTTCTACTCCATAGCATAGTGCCCGTATGGCGACGACCTTCATAGCCAAATAGGTAGAGCTGGAAGCTACCAGTGGCAGCGAAGGCTTATTTTTATTTTTTAGCATTCTAACTCGCTAACTGTTGGCGAATCGATAGCGGCTGTTGATTTTACGCCTCAATAGGGTTTTCCTTCTTAATACGAATATAATGTCTTCTTGAAGAAAATCCATATATGTATGTAGATTTCTTATTGGTTTCGTGTAGCTTATTTTTAAATAGGGAACTACTATTTCGCAATGAAGTAAAAGTTGTTATGTAATGGACCAAAAAATACTAACAATTACTTTTGTTACAAAACTCTTTTTCGCAGGCGCTGCAATTCGACGTAGTCCCGCCGTGGATTTATTCGAGCAACATCAAGGCACTCACATTTTACAGGTCAGTAGTATTACAAATCAATAAAATATAACCATATTGCACACGACGTTTTTCAAAAGCGTTTTAATTAACACGATCTTGAACATATTTTCGCTACAAGACATTGCTGAGCACTTTAGGCAAAAATTCGAACACATTTACACGCTTGCGACGAAAATCCGCTTTTTTAGAATTTTGATTGGTAATAGCAAAAATGTGGTTCATTATGCTCTAAACACAATCTGTGTGAAAGATGGCAACTTTTGGTCAATATCTTAGGCTCGCCCAAGTCCGTCAAAGTTCAAGTCATACAAAAAATTTGTTCTTAGCTTACTTCGATTATCTACAAAAAAGGTCCATATACGCAATTATGTAGGACTAATACTTTCGAAGATACTTGCAATTTTATTTAAAAAAAAAAGTATTAGTTAATGTATTTATTTTTTATTGAGCACATTGAACTTTAATGGACTTGGCGAGCCTTGACCAAAAATTGTCATCTTTCACACAGATTGTTTTTGGAGCATAATGAACCATAATTTTGCTATTACCAATCACAATTCTAAAAAAGCGGATTTTCGGCCCACACTAATATACATACAAAAATATATAAATTTTATTTTTTGTTATTAACAAACCTAGCAAATATCCGCCGGCGTGAAGCCATATTAAACAGGTAGTAGCATTAGAGCGAAAACAACATTTACTTGTATTTTGTTGTTGCTTGAGGTGTCTCAAGTTTCAAAAAATATAATTTTTTTTTTTAATGTCATAGTAGGCCATGTTAAATGTAAACGAAAATTTAAAAAAAAATTTAAATTAAATTAGCGCAGCTTGCTTTCTTGCTAAACGTTCCAAAAGATGGTTTTCAATCTCTTCTTTTTATGAAAAAAGGTTTTACATGAAAATACTTTTTGACGATTTTAAGAAAAAATAAAAAAAAACTATACATATTTGACACTTTAGAGACCAAATAATTTGAAAAAAAAATAAATCAGCTGATCTGCTCGCTGATATGCCAAGCCCGGCACCTTAAAAAATAAAATAGGTTTGAAAAGCTTTATGAAGTGAGATTTTCAAGATAAATTTTCGATTTATGAAACATATTTTATTTTTTATGAATAGGGATGTTAGTTAATATGTCGTAGGTGATGCTTCAAAACGTTTTATGTCACTTATGACCCCTGGTGGTTAATGGATCTGTTATCTGTATCTGATCGCTTTACAGATGCATTCCGGTGCACGTAAGAGACCATCTAAGTGTCAAGGATGCTAATAGACATAGACCGTTTTGCAGTATCACCGACGATATTTTCGAAAGTATTTAATCTTGGGCATGTAATTTATAATCTCATAACTAGATTCGACATATAGTGCACTTTCTTTAAGGGTATTTTAATTCAGTATTTACTTTACCTTATCTTCTTCTTCTTATTTGGCACTACAACCGTATGTCGGTTTGGGCCGAGAACAAAAAAAAACTTCCCCAGTCGCCTCTCTCATTTTCAGATCTGCGCCAGCTGTTCATCTCAGGTGCGGACAGATCCTTCCATTGCATTCGTGGGCGCCCTTGCTTTCGTTGTCCACCCATGGGAGTCGAAGGATCTTTTCATCGGAGCGTCGTCATCCATACGTACAACATGTCCAAGTCAGCGCTTAACTATGTCCATGTCGTTAAAAAGCTCGCAGAGTTCGTCATTCCATCTTCTTCGAGACGCGTCGCCCACGCCAACTGGGCCCTAGATCTTGTGTAGTATAGTTCTCTCGAAGGCACCCAAAGCCTTCTCATCTTTGTTAGACATCGTCCATGTTCGTGCGGCATAAATATAAAAGAACGGGCATGATGAGAGATTTGTAGAGCGTGATTTTTGTTCGTCGTGCTTTTCAAGTGCCCACCGAGCCCAAAGGTGTTAACCTGTTGGTAAGAGTTATTCTTCACTTTATTTTCAGACTGGCATTATTGGTGATGATTTTGCGGGATCCTAAGTAAACAAAGTGCTTCACTACTTCAAAGTTATGACTGCCAACGCGAAGACATTTTATGTGTTGGCAGGATGTACTTTGTCTTGTTTTCGTTCACTGCTAGACCAATCTCGTTAGGCACGTTTTCTAAGCTGCAAAGTGCTGCGATGACATCCCTGGGTTTCAGGCCCTGTTTCCTTCATGATTTATATATTGCAAATAAATCTATATTTTACGCCATTTCCTCGCATAATTACTCATTTCTATTGGTTTTGGTATAATAATAATAATAATAATAATAGATTGGCGCTTACACATATATTAGTGTTTGGCCGAGCTTCTCCTCCAACTTGTGGCGTGCGCCTTGATATTGTCACACAAAGCGGAGGGACCTACAGTTTTACGCCGACTCCGAACGGCGATTGTATTTTTATGAGAAGCTGTTTTTCATGGCAGAAATACACTCGGAGGTTTGCCATTGCCTGCCGAGGGACGACCGCTGTTAAGAAAAACCTTTTTCTAAATTTTTTGCGATGTTGCTTTGACCAGGGCTTGAACCCAGGTGCTGGTGAGTGAAAGCGCGCACTGCTTACCACTACACCACAGCGGTTTTGGTATCTAAATTCCGTTAACTAATCACATGCTTCTTGCCAGATGCCAACAGGGTTGCTTAAGTAGCTAAAAGGAAATTTTACCCGAGTTGAGCGTACTTTTGTCGCTCGTTTACAAAAAAAATGCACCTAATAAAGCGGCGCTAGCGTCGAGCAAATGGAATTTTCATTTTTGAAAGGGCGTTACGTGTTGAAGTTGGTTTCAGAAGACGGAAAGAAAGAGATAGGACAAAAAGTGAAAGAATAATCAAGAAAAGGCAAAAAATTACGACGCGTTTATTTGGGTGTAGAGCGCGGTGACACTCGTTGGCACTGGAAAACGCAACGCTTTGCGCTCCAATTTAGGGACGGCAGTAGGTGGTCTTCCCTCTATGCTCTATGAATGGTTTGAGACAGTGCGCCAGTGTTGCCACACATGGGCTTTTCCTACCAAAACTGGTAGGTTTTTTTCCATTTGGTAGGTTGGTAGCCTTGATTGGATTTTGTTAGGTTCCGTCTCAATAAGTAATAGTTGTTTGCGAAAAATAAAAAAATATGTATCTCCAAACATTTTAGCAACCGTTTTTCAACGAATATTTCACCGGTGCGTTCGTATGACGGCGGCCGCAAACATATAAATATACCTGATTTTTGAGTACAAACGTTATTATTGCCGATATACAATATGAACTCCATATATGTATACTTTGTGGCATACTTGGACCAAGATTTCAGAAGAGTATGTCAATGGGCTTGTACCCAACCATATTCCAGGCGGAGCTCTTCGCAATTGAAGTCTGTGGCCAGAACAAATATTATTTCGGATATTCAGTCTGCGTTAAAGATCTTAGAATCGTTTAAAACGGCATCAAGGCTTGTGAACTCTTGAACCTTCTGGGAGCCCACAGTAGCGTAACGCGTAACGGTGAGTTCCGGGACATGGAGGGTTTGAAGGCAACGACAGGGCTGACTCGCAAAACGTGTAGACCAAAATCGCTTGCATGGTCCCGAGCTGTTCAGTGGTACATCTAAAGGATGCACTGCAGAACTACTTAGGAGCTAGCAGGGAATAATCTCAGATTGCTGCCCACTGGCGGAAGTCAAAGCGAATAAGACAATCAAAGAGATTCATAGCTCCTACCAGGAGGAATTCCGAAAGACTCCTTGAACTTAAAATTCTTACTGGCTACCTGAAAGCACACTGCAAGTTAACATACCATTTAAATTAGATGGGTCTTTCTGTAGGGGCGGACTGTAGGTTTTATGGGCTGGTGGAGGAAACCACACATTTCGTTTTCACCAGGTTGAAAGGCACGTTGAATAGGTAACAGCAGCAGGGTTGCAATTTTGATTTTCTTCATTCGAAGTGGTCCATGGATTGTCATTTTTGTTTACATTTTATTCTGCAATGTCAAATTTTGGGCATCAGCAATGATGAGATTAGATATTAGCTAAAAATTAAGGAAAACAGGAATATTATATTATGTTGAAATAGTAATCAGCCTGGACCAACGTGTATGTATGTATATTGTTTTGCCTTCCTTCCAGTCCCTCGATGGATTCGCATTAGCCGTTGCTGCAGATGGTCGATTTTTATACATATCGGAAACAGTCTCTATTTACTTGGGTCTGTCTCAGGTGGAAATGACAGGAAGTAGCATATTCGACTACGTTCATCAGAGCGACCACGCGGAAATTGCCGATCAACTGGGATTAAGCTTAACTAACGGCGGCATTGCTGGTGGTGGTAATGGCAACGGCACAACTGGCCTGGCGTCGCCCACTTCAGGTGCGTCAGACGACGGCATTGGCACTCACGGCACGAATAACCCCGACGGTAAGTTCGACAAAAGGTCTCAAAGGTAAGGCACTTTCGAGTGAATTTCAACCCCATTCAATTTGAATTCAATGTGACCTTGGATGAAATTCATTCGGAAGTGAGTTGCTGAACCTGCCCGCATATGTACGTACATAAGTAAATACAGATAAAAATGCTTGCATGTATGTATGTATGTGCATATGTATGTATAGTACATTAGTGTGCGCTTTATTTGTATGGAAAAATTGTTTTTAAGCTACAAAGCAAAACTCATTTGTTCATAAAAGGTGCTCTAGGAAAAATTTTCTAATCTAACGGAAAGATGAGCCCTAGATTTCCAAAAGTTGGTTGAAACATAGAGCGCACACTAATGTAGATTACTAAGGATTAGCGAGACACGGCTTTTTATAAATCCCAGTTGTCCTAGTCGGAGCTATTTGACCTTACCCAATTACAGCGCACCTCTGCCTGGACGGACAACCCTCTTTTTCCGCTCCTCAAAAAAGGCAGACAACGGCAACCACCTCCGCCTTAACCCAGCTACGGTAACCATATTTATGGAAGCCGAATACGGGACAAAAAATTGTTTTGATAATTTTTTCCACAAAAGCTAACAGATCTTAACATCCTTCTTTAATGCTCCTAGAGGTATTAGCCGGCAACAGCATCCTTAATTGCCATATATTTTTCGATCCTTTTTTTAAAGCAGCGCATACATACATACGTATTTGTGTGTGTGCGTAATTTTCATACATATTTACGTTCGACAATTTTTTGATAAGAAAGCAAATGAGCAGAACCTTGCACTTGCACTTTATTAAGCTCAACCTTAATGAGCTACAAAACTGCAAAAAAAAAATTTTTTTTGAGATTCTGATTAAAAAATTTGCAAATTTTCGTGAAAATTTTGCAGAACTTTAAATGGGGTTTGCATCAAGTCTGAAACTTGGCTTTACATATATGGTTTTTGTTAGGAAATAAGCTTCACTTTCATAAAAAAAAATAATAAACATTAAATGAAGCAAAAGAAAAATAGCCAAACCTTGCTAAAATGTCGAGGCCGGCCCTATTTAGATCTTCGCCACTGTGCATGGATACATGTAGCTTTTTCAATTTATGCTTAGATACTGATTACGTTACTCAATTTAATTTAACTTTTTTCAGTCTCTGCGCAAATGACAGTGTCCTCTACCAGCGGGTACAAAGGCTACGAGCGATCGTTTTGTATTCGCATGAAATCGACACTTACCAAACGAGGCTGCCATTTCAAATCCTCCGGCTACCGGGTATGTACGCAGTATTTATGCATCTACATACATACATATATTCAAATTTACAAACTGTTGTTAAAAAATGTAGTATTTCACATACATACATACATACATATGTACATACATTTATTCTAGGGTAAAGTGCGAATTTCAATGCTCTCAGCCCCTAGGACTGTTCTATATCGAAAACAATATACCCCTATTTTTTTTTTCGAAAACACTGTTTTACTTTAGGAGACTTCAAATAATAATACCCAATTGTTTATTTTACCATTTTTTAACCGACTTCCAAAAAAGGAGGAGGTTATCAGTTCGTCGGAATATTTTTTTTGTTTTTTTATGTATGTTACCGCATAACTTTGGACCACGTCAACCGATTTCGATAATTCTTTTTGCATCGGGTAGTGTCTCAGAGGTGGTCCCATACTAATCTGGTTGAGATCCGATCAGTGGATCATGAGATATATATATATATATTTTTTTTTTTATGGGAGTTGAAATCGGTTTTTTTTTGCTAAAAATTACTTGTTAATACAAAAGATTTTTATGGGCAACCACTGAATGTTTGGTGTTTTTTGCGGACCTATAAAAAATTGTTAATATTAAAACCTGGTTACATAAACATCTGGGTATTATTATTGGAAGTGTGCTGGAGAGAAATATAGTTTTCCAAACGAAAATAAAAACAGGGTTATATTTTTGCGGTATAGAACAATCCTAGGGGCGAGAGCATTAAAATGCCGACTCTACTTTTTTTTTTTTGACCACCCTAACGGCTACACAAGTGGATATCGAAGTCGTTGTATAGGGATAGACGCTCGAAGTCTTACGGATTAAAAGTGCTAATGTTTTGTACATATATTTCTTTTTACAAACATACATAATTCATGAAGAAAACATGTCAAATTTTAAGAAAAATGTATAACTATTCAATGTTGCCACCTTTAGCGCGGATAGAAGCATCGAGTCTGTCCGGGAATGCTTCACAAGTGGCACGAATGTGGTCTGGTGGTATTTTGTTCCAGTGTCGGCGAAGAGTAATCTTCAAAGTATTTTTTTAATTGATATTTTGGCCTCGAGCCGGGACCATAAGTCCGGTGAATATGGTGGCCATTGCTGTAAAAAAATTAAGCTGTCAAGTGTTTTTCAGAAAACGTTGAGTTTCGTGAACTTTATGAATTGTTTTCGTGTCCAAGGGAATAAAGCATCGTTGCTCTTTGTTTTCTCGGTAGATCTGTTGATTTACTTTAACGACCTGTTCAACATAAAATTTCCCTAGACCAAATTCGAGCAGCACGTGAGGCATTCGTGGACAGAATCGACGCTGCTATTATCCGCGTTAAGGTGGCTACATCAAACAGTAGTTGCGATCCCGTACGAGTCCGGACTAGTCAGAAATAGTCAGAATCAGTCAGATTTTACTGGAAATCGATCCCGTACTCGGTTCTCTGACTATTGAGAGGACAAAAAAGAGAGTAAATACGGTTCTCTCTCTGTCAGAAGTTACCAGTTTTAGTCCGAGAATTTTTTGCTGGTAAATTCTGGTAAATGTGTCAAACGATCAGCTGTAGTATGTTTGGCAACCAATTTGTAAACAAAAAAAGTGCACTCTGCTAATTCATGTTGAAAAGTATTTAATTATTTGTTTAAGTGGATTCTAATGAATTTGAAAGTATTTTTGGTTATTTACATGTGTGAGCTGAGTGCGTTTACATACAAAATAAGCAAAAATTTACAACCAAAATTTGGAGGTTATGTTGAAGTTGACAGAAGTAACCATTTTTTACTAGAAAGCGATCCCGTACTTTTCCATGTTACTCTCTCGCTCTGAGCGAATTTTTATTTTTTGACAGTTTTACTAGTCCGAGTCCGAGGAATACGGGATTGCACCTAGTAATAGTGAACTGATGTGTGAAAATAAAATAAATTTACAAAATTATAGGATTTTTTATTGGGGTAACACTTCGAGCGCCTACTCCTGTATAATCGCACCCCTCTAGTTCGTAACCTTTTTTTGTACATATGTATGTATATCTATCCCCAGTAGTATTTGGAATATTTAAGTATGTACATAGGTAGTTTTAAAAAGTACCTACCTTCCTAGCATACGTACATACGTAGCTTGTTTTCGGTTTATTTACTTAGAATAATTGTTTTGTGTCTTTGATTTTGAGTTGTATTTATGTACGTTTTGATCCAATGAGGCAAATAGAAAGCAAAATTAATTAAATCTAAGTGTATTTTACCATCCCATTCCCCACTTATCTGCAGGCAAACGATCAATCGGTCAATGGTGGTAAAAACGGTAAACCAATGGGCACCAATTATTCGGTACGTATCAAATAAAATCAAATCAAAACCGAAGCAGAGTATGGCTCACGATACATACATACATACATATGTACATACATACAAATTTCGCTTATGAAAGCAATTTGCTTTTAATATGCACATACATACATATCGTCGATGTTTTTGCAAAACCGCCTATCTTACGGCACTCAAATTTTACAGGCGGGCGAAAAAACGGGTTTTCTTGGCAGGCATTGCCTTGATAGGCAGTCTTTTTTCTAGCTATTATTATTTTACAAATCTGTTGTCTTAATAAAGATTTTACGATTTTTATGCATAAGAGCGCGGTCACCCACAAACGTGTAGGTACATAGCGCAGCGTAGAAGTACGTAGCAACATATCAAGTTTGCTGTTGACAGAACGAGAAAGAAGCAACGACTACGTCACGGTCATGCGGTGGTGAGTTTTTGTTAACACGAAGGTCCCTTAAGATAGATCAGCTGACCCGTTCTCCGTTTTGACGTCCGTGAGTAACGGCGCTTTAAGTCTCGATGCCTGGATTTCAGGGTTACCAAATCTCAACCGATCGATGGGCGGTTTTGCAAAAACATCGACGATATGTACCGCATATATGTTGTACATATATGTATGTATGTATGTATGTGTTGTGCATTAGATAGTCCACTATCTATTCAACAGAAATGCGTAGTGTGCATGCCACTATCCGTTGACTTAAAAATTTTACTAAATACATTATTTTTGGTTATCGGTTAACTGAACTCATGGAACTAAGAAGACCCAAACAATCGGGACACGTCAATATTATATGTATGTGTAGGTACATACATACATATGTACATATATACATTCCCAGCAAACATTTTTCATTTTCTGGTAAGCACTTATTTTTGTATCAATTGTGGAACGCATTCATTACAAGTCGCCTCAAGACAATTTTACATTTATTCGATTACCTCCAACGACATGCACATGTTAATGTAATGTATTCTGTGAATAAAAATAATAAATGGATAAGCGAAAATTGTCTTCAGGTGACTTGTATGGCGTTTCTCCATTTATACAAAAAAAGTGCTTACCAAAAAATAAAATCCTTAGAATCCACGAGATTTGTTATCGTAAAATAATGAAGAATTTTCATTTGTTTAAATTGGTATTCCGAAACATCTGATTTGATTGATCAGATTTGAATGTAGATACTACCCCATTTTTAGATACAAATATATATTTATGTAATCTTGAAGTTTAGTTGGAAAGGAAACAAGGGCGGCGAAACGCTTTCCTATTTATCCTCGAATAGTATGTATAATTAGCGTAGCCAGAATAAAATTTTGGAGAGGAGGCTCGAAGCTATGAATCATTTTGATCATTCCTCAAAATGAAATTAAAGCGAAGCTTCTCCGGTTTTCAAAAGTCCAAATTTAAACTGCGATCTTGCGGAAAAAATGTGTACATATTCAAGTGAAGCGGAGTGTATGTTCATTTCAGTAATTCTATTCACCACCTAGATTTTATTGAACTTAAAAACCCTTGATTTATTTTATTTTATTTATTTTAGTGCACATGTTAAACAAAAGCTTGTTTTAAATTTTTATTAAGATTATTTTGTTGAATTAAGTCTCTCTTAAATGTCTCTGTTGACGTGTTACGTGGTAAGTGCTAAGGACTCACATGCATAGGTAGATGAAAATATTATCAATATAATAAACGTCAGCTTCTGCAGACAACTAATATGTCAGGAATTGAATTCCAAGTTTGCAAAATTTTAGTTTTAGAATTTTTGCTCAAATTGGCTAATGGGGTCTTTCATATTCGATTAGTCCAACTCTTTTTTCCTTTCGACAAGGTTTTAGTCCATTTTGAATTACGCTGGAACTCAATCAGCTGCATTTCAAAATCTTCGATTTCCAAGCAATCAAATTTAGACAAGTTCGGTTCATCAAGGGGCCGGGCCGGGCCCCACTAAAATTCTTAACGTGCGGGCTCGTGCGTGTTTTTGAAAGTTGATTTTGCACTCGTGCCGGGCCGGCGCGATTTTAAATGAAAAAATTACCTTTTCACGATGTTAGTTTTTTTTTAACATTTTCTTAAAACTTTTGCATATGAAATGTCTGTATTTAGGTTTCTTAAATTTCCGTTATTTGTATAAACCATTTCTAAAAAGCAAATCGTTACCTAAAGGTGAAAATGTGCCAAGACCATTATGTGCATCAAAAACTAAATAAAGTGGACTTGACACGTTTTCACCTTTAGGCAGCGAAATACATCGGTTTGCAAATTTTTAACACAAACATTAAAAGAAACGGTTATTGTGTTTTAAGAACAAAACTCGATATGAAGGCGTCTAGGACCTACCGTTGATTTTCGTCATTTTTTTTTTGCTGACAGTGCCTCTTCCATACAAAAATGACTTTTTTCAACAAAAAAATGATAAAGATCGACGTTAAATCTTAGCTAATTGCACTTTATTTTAATAAAATTGAATGTACCACGAAACTGTATACTCAAAATCCTCTAAAAAGGTTTCTACAAAAGTTTGTTATTTTTTTTTATATTGCACAAAGTTTGAATCTTAGATTTATACGACTTTTTTTAAGAGTAAACCCTATCTTTACAAATACAAATACAAAATAACTAAAATTAAATGGTAAAAAAATATAGTTATTATTAAAACTTGTCAATATGTAGTGCATTTAAAATTTGACACGGATCAAAAGGAAACGTTTCTGTAAAGGCTTTATTTCTTAATTATATGTAGGAGGGTTGCCACCTGTTCCAAGCAAGTTCGAATTAAATAAAGGCAGAAAATTGAAATGTATTTTCTGATATGCATGTCCGACGAAAGAGGTTGTGGTTTGAAAATATTTTGCAGAGGGTTGCCTCCTTCTTACAAAGCTAAATTCAATATTAGCAATAGGTTAAATAAACTACTTCAATATGAATATATAACAAAATTGCTTTGAAGAAATTTTATTTCTAAACTGCATGTAGGAGGGTTGCCACCTGATTTTATAATTAAATTCAATTTTAATTAAGAGTATTAGATAATTTAAATATGTATCACAATATAAGTGTCATACGAAAAAGGCGCGTATGTTTAGTAATATTTTTAAATCACTACTATCAACAGTTGTAATTTTTTTTTGCTGAAAAAGGGGTCATCTAATTGCTATGCAAATCTATATAGACCTTTTTAAAATTTTTACTTTTTCAATATTTTTTAACATAAATTAAGTGTTTGATTCGTTGAGTGATTCGATCTAGACGCCCCGATCACCTAAATGAACTAAACATGCCAACTGAAGTTAGAGGGCTGCGCAAATGGTTTTACTTTTGCTGTACACAGCATTGCACACTTCAATAAATGCAGTAATGAAGCAAATGCACTTGACAATAAATGAAGTGAATAAAGCAATTGGGTGTGCAGTAATCGGCAGCAGTTTAAATGTTAAATTTTAGCCATGATACAAGTATCAAATATTATTTTAATAAAAAACATAAATACATATATACATTGTTGTTACTAAGTTTAGGTAAAATAGAGACACACTGCAATTATGCATACTAGGGCTGTGCGATTAATTGATTACTCAAAATTTTAATTAATCATAAAGTAAATGACTTAATTATTCGATTAATTGGAAATTATGATTACTCAAAAGTTCAGTTACTCGAGTAATCAAGATTTTTGATTAACCAAAAACAAAAATATTTGAGTAAATTGCTTTATGATTAATCAACATTTCGAGTAAAATGAGTAATCAACATTTCAACTCTTTACATATGTATAAAGTAGTTAAAGTTCCTTGATACTTTGAAAACGACGTTTCTGTTTTCAAAAATTAAAACAAAAAATTTTTTTCATACACAGAATGTAAAAAAGAAAATAAGCATTTTCCAAAGCAAACTCTTTTAACGAGCAAAATTATTTTTTTTGAGTAATCATATTTCAAGTAACTCGATTAATCATCGTTTTGAGTAATCAAAATCTTGATTACTCGAGTAATTGATTAACCGAATAATTGATTAAACAACTTGCTCGAGTAATCGAATAATCGCACAGCCCTAATGCATACATATAATTTTACAGCACTAGCTGCCTTACTGTATAGTAGTTGTACTCGACAGTAAATGCAGTAGTGCTTGATGTTTTATTACAGCAATGTTTTGTTGAAGCAACGTTTTGATTCACTATTTGCAGTAGTCCGCATTTGACAGCATTTGAAAGTGAAGTGAAGTACATATAGCGAAATTAGCAAATGCTTTGATTGCCCTTTCAAAACCATTTATGCAGCCCTAGAGTATACAGTACAAATGTACATACATTTGTACCGTAATATTAAACTTTAAATACCAATTACTTCCACATTCGATTTATTTAAGGAAATGCCATTATCTAGATATTGCCTTGAAATTTAATAAATGCGAATATATGTTTGTATGTACATTTATTTTTTGTATTCTATTGTAGGTAGTCTTGTTGTTGTGCAAGCTGCGACCGCAATACACGTTCTCACATACAC